ACACATAAAAGAGTATCAGTTAAGCCAAAACTTACTTTTTTAAGAGAATTCATAAAATACACAGACTTCTAGGATCAAAGTAAGAGAGAAGACACAAATACAGATGATTAGAAATGGCTGATGGCACACAACTTTAGATGCACTGCAGAGAATAGAAGAAGTAGAGTGACATTGTGAACAACTTATGCCATTAATTGGAAAATTTGGACAACATGGCTGAATTTTTAGAAAAAAGTGACTTAGGGCAAGGAAGACAAAACAAGCAAAATTCCCATAAAAATAAGGAAATTTAATTAGTAATAAAAATCTTTCTACAAAGAAAGCACCGGTTCAGATGAGTTTATAGGCTAGTTCTACCTACCATTCTGGAAGCTGGAGAAGGTATTTGCAGCGTGTGACAAAAGCTTAATCTCCAGAACTAAAAAAAAAAAGTCCCACAAAGATATCCAACCCAGGAAATTGGACAAAAACACAGACACAAGAAAGGAAACACAAATGATTCATGAATGTATGAAAGACATTTAACTCTATTAAGAATTAGGGAAGTGGAAATTAAAGTCCAGTGATGTACCAGTTCGTTCTCACCAGATTGGCAAATATTAGGAAGTCATAGGCTATTAGGAGCAGGGAACGATGCAGAAAATCAGGAACTGTCTTCACCACACACAATTATAAGTGGATACAAATCACTCTGGAAATTTGGTATTACCTAGTAAACTTGAACATGTACATATTCTCCCATGGAGGAATTCTAATTCTAGGTATATAGAGAAATTCTTAAAAGTGTGTACCAAGACACACAGGCAGGAAAAATGTGCATAGAAGCTTTGTTCCTAATAGCAAAGAAGCAAAAACATTCAAACGGTAATCACAATAGGGTGAATACATTGTGGCAGAATCACACAGCACAGTAGTACCGCTGTGAACATGAATGAACCAGAGCTGCATCCATCTCCATGAATAGATCACAAACACTTAATGTTAAACCCGGTGGGTTTTAGACGTTGGTGAGCACTGGAATTGTCTGGAGAGCCAGTGGAGACACAGAAGCCTTGCTTGTGGAAATGGGACTGGACTGTACCTCTGTAATTTTGCCGATTCCCCAGGTGATCCTGATACACAACAAAGTTTGAGAACCACTGTGTTAAAACACAGTTGTAAGAGGATGCAGACTGTTTAGCTTACACAAAGGTGAACAAAACGAACAAGACTAAGATATATATTATTTAGGTTACATACATAAGTTATAGCAAGACAAAGGCAGCTCCTGGTGAGGAGGAAATGGTAAGCATTTGGGGAGGAGGCATCCAACCAAGATACAGGTTATTTTTTGATGGAAGGTACACTGAAATCATTTTATTATTCATACTTTATGTAGTGTTTGTGCATTAAGATATATTTCACAAGGCAAACTTAAAAAATAATCAAATAAGCAAGATTTATTTTGAGCCTGTGCCCTTCAGCACTTCAGTGAGCTTCTGGGTATGTGTTACTGTTTCATTGCTGCCTTGATGGCTTTGGTGAGGTCAGTGGAGATCACACAGTATATACACATTGTCTTGTTTCTTCTGCTCATCAGCAGCACTGTCTGGAAGGAATGTTCAACTGGGGCAGAGGGGAAGTTTGTTCTCCATGTGGGTTGTGTAAATAGGCTGCTTGCATTGCCCTCTGCACCCTTAGGAAGGCCCGGAGTTTGGTCCTGTTCACAGTGGTCCAGAGGCTGACCTGGTGTGCAGCCTGGAGGCAGTGCCTGCCTGACAGCAGCGAGCAGAGTGGGAGCAGATACCTGTGTGCAGCCCAGTGGTACTGAAGGGACATGGTAGGGCCAACAGGACAGAAGAGGGCCTGGCATGAAGCTGCCGGAACTGATTGATGATGCAGGCTTGGAAGTGTCCAAGGGAAGGATACATTCCTAGGAGAAGTGACCCTTTTTCTTGCCTCCAAGCGATCCAGGGGAGTTGCTTCCATGGATTCTTAGAATGTGATTGCAGCTCTCTCTGTACTAGATACTAAGGATAGGCCCAGAGGTGTGGGGAGGTGGGTAGGAGTGCTTTGGCAGACAAGACTATGTGCTTCGACCCCAAGTGAGTGGGTGAAAACTGGGCCACGGGAGATGGGAGGTCTGCAGAAATCCAGCTGATCCTTACTCTGAGGAAGGCTTATAGCAGCTGATGGGTTGGAAGAAGCTGTACCAAGTTCTCATCTCTGTCCTGGGTAGGCAGAATTGAAAAGGAATAGTCGGAGATCTGGGCTACTTGGGACAGGGACCCAGCCCCCTTGATTAGGTCCTGGCTGCCCTGGCTTCTTTAGCAACTCACGCCAGGGGCTGCTGCATGTGGCCAGGGAAGGTGAGGGTTACACCTATTAGAAAGGTACTGTGTTCCCCCATCAGCCAGGCCCCCTACAATTTCCAGCGTTCTTCTTGGGGCACAGTAGGGAGGGTTCAGTGCCACTGACTCTCCCATCGGGAAGTTGAGGGTGCAGGAGAGGCTTAATAAAAGAACTTCTATGGTGACCTCTGCTATGAAAAGTAAGCGAGAAAAACAAAAGGTTCGTAACATATCCATTTCCTTTCCAAGGTGTGCTGGCTTTGATAAACCCCCTTATGCAAATTACATTCTTCATGATTTTTCTAGGTTAAAAAAAAAAAAGGGGGGGCTTCCCTGGTGGCGCAGTGGTTGGGAGTCCACCTGCCAATGCAGGGGACACGGGTTCATGCCCCGGTCCGGGAAGATCCCACATGCCGCGGAGCGGCTGGGCCCGTGAGCCATGGCCGCAGAGCCTGCACGTCCGGAGCCTGTGCTCCGCAACGGGAGAGGCCACAACAGTGAGAGGCCCGCGTACCGCAAAAAAAAAAAAATCCCCCTCCCCCACCGCAAAGGCCTCTGTATTCCTTCTCCAAGTAAAGCTGACCACTCCACTTATTGCTCTTTCTTATAGTTCTACTTACTATCAGGTCAGAATATGATTTCTCTCATCCTACTATCCTATGCTTGGGGCAAGGCATCCATTAGCAGGACAGCTAAGAGCAGAGCACAAATGTCCAGGCTTAGCTACATTCTCTGCTTCATTTCCTGAAGCCCAACTGGGTCCTGGGCCCATCTCACTTGGTGGTCCTATATTGCAATTTCCACACCATTGATTGTCAGTTGGTCCCAATCCAACAAGATCATTGTCCCTTAAACAGACTTTTGTCTGAAATACAAAGTTTAAGTGGCTTAAACCCAGATTCAGTAGGTAATAGCACTTCAATTCTTTTGAAATGCCTGCAGTTCTGCATACTTGGGAACTACTGATCATTCTAAAAGGATGCAATTCTTAATTTCCTCCTTTCTCCCAGATCTAGCATATGGCTACAACTGACCAGTCTACACACTCATATTGAGTACCTAGGACATTCCTGAAATACTTTGTTTACCCTTATACCCTTAAACATGTTATGTTCTTGTTTAAGTGATTTTGAAACTCCTGATCACTCATTTCTAACCTCATTAGGTCCATTTATACCATCTCACTGTCTCAACTCTAGACTGTGTCATCTGCAAGGAGGAAGACTTAAGACCAATTTTAAAACACAGTTATTCACAGTTAAAATCTTGACTTGCAGCCAACACTGATGGAGTCACTTCTTAGAACCAGCGAACCAGGGCTTTCTTAACCTGACTGTCTCCCACCACCAAAACCCTTGGTGAATGTCCGTTTCTTGTAGTTCCTGTGTTGATCTCAGACATGGAGCTGTTTTGTTCCTCTCTAATCCTCACTCCATACAGCAGCCAGAGATTTTTTAAAATGTAAATCTGATTGTGGCTTGTTGGTGGATAAAATCTTTCAAGGGCTTCTCATTGTCTCTAGTGAGGATGATTTAGCGGGATTTACTGAACCCCACACCCACATCTGGCCCAGGACACAGATCCCATGCTGCCTTTGACCATCTCTCCCCCCTGCCAGTGGCCCTGCCCCTCCCTAGGTTGGAGGGGCACCCCGCTACCTGTACCGGAATAGGGTACCACAGGGTGCCACCTGTTGCCCGCATCTTCAGGAGCACGGCCAACGACTCAGCTCTGCACTGCCCCTCCCCCTCCCCCCCCTACCTGCAAGCACTTTGCCTAACAAGGTCATCCTTCAGGTTCAGCTTCAGCGCTAATTCCTCACACAAGCCTCGTCCTGGAAAGAGCTCCCCTTAGCCTGCTCCCTTTGCTATTTCTATGCATGAGAGTGCTCACTTTCAATAGGATAATAATAGGATCTTCCTCATAGCATTCCTAAGGTTGTTGTGAGTACCAACTGATAAAATGTGTGTAAAGAGCTTAGCAAATGGTCTCATGTGGAAGCACAATAGATTTCCTTTGCCCCTAGATTTCCATATGACATCACTCAGCATATTTCATTCTATGATGAAACCTTGAGTTTCATCAGATGGGATTAAGCCTGACTCATTCACTGCTATATGCCCAGTGCTCAACACAGAACAAATCACAGAGGAGCTGTTGGGCAGATTTTGTGCAATGAATGAGTGGACATATTTTTTAAATTTGTACGCAAATCTTTTTTTAAAAGAAAATCTAATTATTAAAGAATTAGGGGACACTCATTGCATTTTGGTCAACTGTGCCAGAGAAAATCAGTTTTCCTTGTCTAAATCACCTAGATGACTCCCAACAGGAAATTTAGCCTTTAATTCCAGCTAATGCCTGTTGTGACATTTGACAGCACTGGTTCTTTTTGAGTTTGACTCCGTGGAAGCCAGTGCATTGGTGGTTTAGCTGCAGATATCTTTTCCTGTCCTTCAGGGAAGGTGTTGAATAATCCTGTTTGCATTTTAGGATAAGCAAGTATTATTTGTCAATAAGCAACAAATGAATTCTTTGACCGTGGGCCCAAACTCATAACCCCTTTGGCATCAGCTATTTAGGCTGTAGACCTAGACAACTACTGGTAAGTCTTTTGCAGACATCATGAGCTCATGAGTCAATGGTAAACATTTCTGGTTATCTTCCCAGGAAATCAGTGACCCCGAGATCCTGGATCTGGTCCACAGCGCCCTTGGCAGGATGACCGTGGTCCGGCAGATCTTCCCATCTGCAAAGGACAGCCAGAAATGCATGAGGAACAACCACCGCATCTCTTCCCTGCTCTGCGACCCCCAGGAAGGCTACCTCCAAATGCTGCAGGTCAGTGCTTGCCTCCTAAGCTCCCTCCAGGAGGAAGTCTCACCCGTACGCTTGGCCTGTCACGGTCAACAACATGCCTCAGCTCTTGACTGACTGCTGTTGCTCACCAACTTTAGTAACTAGAACTCTGTCATTTGCTGACATTGAAACCAGTCAACTGGGCAGTGCCTCTAAGCACATTAGCAGGCAGTTATGGCCACTGTCAGCAGACAGGACATATGAGCTCACTGGGTGCCTCTAATATTTAAAAGTTGCATGCTTAGGGAGTCAGGAGAGTCCTGTCTTTTAGGCTTCTGTGATGACTGTTTTGTGGGGCATGATTTCATCTTGCAGGACTTGGGGTAGAGCCTTCCTGCGGGGAGTCATCATTTTGAACCTGTTTTAAGTTCTTCCGTGTAGAAAGTCAATAATATGGAAACAACTGGGAACTGTCCCAGTTCATCTTCTGAATGCTGAGGCTTAGGTCAACCAGAACGTGCTGGATTCCCAGCTGAGCAGGGAGGGGCAAAAGGGTAGGAGCATCACTTGCCCACCTGTTCCATTCCTTCCAAGATGAGAAGTACTGTGTGTATGGTTAGTTATTCTGCCACTCTCTTGACATAGGTGCGATCAGGGTTAGCTCCCCTTGGGCCTGGGAGGGGGATGTGGAGCTGTGCACCAGTTGTGAGAGGTGGTTTTCTCCCTGGATGTTTGAGGGTAACAGTGAAGCACTGTGGAGACTGTCTGTTGGTAGCCCGGCCTCTGCGTCTCCACTAGGAATATAGCACCCAAGAAAATATTCATTTGACACTTGGAAATTTCTCCCGGTTGGGTTTGTGAAAAGTGCTCAGAAGTTTGTGCATGGGATATGCATGCCACTCGGCATTTGAAACTAGCTACACCTTCTTTACTCAGCCAGGCGTAAGGATTGTAGGGCAGAAATGGGCTGTGTCTGCCACCTGAGTATTGGGGCCACCCCAGAACATCTTGGTATCATCTAATCAGGGGGCACATGATTTGCAGAGGGGGGTTATTAGACTCTCTATGGTAGGCTGGGTACATGCGTGATTTGCCAAGGTACCAAATCCAGTCTATAATCTTATATGGGGGGGCGCGGTGCGGGGAGAGGAAACACGCTCCAACAGGCGGCAAACGCTAGAAATATGTTCTTGGTTGATAGGGAAGCACAGAAGACACTGAGATTTTAGCTGGAGTAACTCCCTCTTCCCCAAAGCCCATGGCTCCGGGGAGCCATCACAAGGTCTGGGGTCTTTCTGAGGTGGTGAAGGGTTGGCCGAGAGAGTGGACCAAAGGCCTCCACAGGGCCATGGACTTGAGAGCCCTGGGCATGTGGGCCAGACGTGCAAGGTGCTTAATGCGAGGATTTGTGGTTTTGGATCCTGCCGTGACCTGTCCTGCCTTCCTCTCTTCTGGAGTTTGGAGGAAGAGGTGAGGGGGTCTCATGGTGCCTCTGTATTTACCGTCCCACTCTCCGTGTGGATGCAAGTGCAGTGCGACCACGTGGCCCAGGCAGTGTGTGCCCATCCCCACCCGGGGCAGGACGGGGAGGTGCCGGCCACTCTGTGTGGGGGCCAGACCCCGGGAGGGTCTCACTCCTAGGAAGTTCTCCCCAGGTTCTCTCTCCTCAAAGGGCTTCGTCCTCCTCCAAACGTACACCAGCCCTGCTGCACCCTGCCCCATATCCCCCATCCATTTTCCTCAGTCCTTGCTTTACCATACTGCAATTCTACTCCAGGAGAAAGGAGGGCTGCTTCCCGGTACACCAGCACGTGCTGCCTTGATGGGGTGGAGGGAGAGGAGAAAGTACTTCCTGTCTAGGTCTTGATTATTCATTGCGCCCTGGGCAAAAGGCTTAGGTGAGCTCTTTGGTTGCACATCAAACACACTGGATACAAGGAATCTGTCCTGGAGGCCAAGACAGAAAAGGAGACTGATGGTAGCAGCAAGGAATGCAGTAGAGGGCTTTCTGAAATGACACACAACCATTAGGAGGATGAACAAAGCCATGGCTCTGAGGCGGGTGGCTAGTCATCAAGTGAGGTCAGTGCAATATCGAACCTAGAATCCTGGCCACCCTACCTCTCTTTGTTCCTTCTGAGACCCAGGCACTACATAAAGTGCAAGATTTAAGAGTGAAATCATAGAGATCTTGTAACAGTAGTAGGAGCAGTAGAAACAGTAGCAGCAGTAGCAGTAATAGTAGCAGTAGTCACAGTAGCAGCAGCAGTGGCTATAGTAGTGTTAGTAATAGTAGCGGTAGCAGTAGTAGTGATGGCGGCAGTAATAGTAGCAGCAGTAATAGCAGCAGAAGGAGTAGTAGCAGTAGTAGCAGCAGTAATAGTAACAGTAGCAGCAGTAGCAGTAATAGTAGCAGTAGTCACAGTAGCAGCAGCAGTGGCTATAGCAGTGTTAGTAGTAGTAGCAGTAGCAGTAGTATAGTAATCGTAGCAGCAGTAATAGCAGCCCAAGTAGTAGCAGTAGTAGCAGCAGTAATAGAAGTAATAGTAACAGTAGCAGCAGTAGCAGTAATAGTAGCAGAAGTCACAGTAGCAACCGTAGTACCTGTAGTAGTGTTAATAATAGCAGTGGTAGCAGTAGTAGTGATAGCGGCAGAGGTAGTAATAGTAGCAGTAGTGGTAGTAGTAGTAGTAATAGTAGCAGTAGCAGTAGTAGTGATAGCGGCAGTGGTAGTAATAGTAGCGGTAGTGGTAATAGTAGTAGTAATAGTAGCAGTAGCAGCAGTAGCAGTAATAGTAGCAGAAGTCACAGTAGCAACCGTAGTACCTGTAGTAATGTTAGTAATAGTAGCAGTAGTAGTGATAGCGGCAGAGGTAGTAATAGTAGCAGTAGCGGTAGTAGTAGTAGTAGTAGTAGCAGTAGAAGCAGAAGCAGAAGCAGAAGCATCAATAGTAGAAGTAGTAGCAACAGCAGCAACAGCACAGGAGCCAGCTTGCTTGGGTTCAAATTCCAGTAACTCTCGTTACTAATTGTTAATTATTATTTATTTGTCATTCTGTGCCTCAGTTTCCTTCTGTGTAAACTGGGGATTAGAACACTACCTACCCCTCAGAGTCATAATGAAAATTAAAGGGGAGAACATATAGAAAGCAGTTTGAACAAGGCTGAGCTATTAACAGTACCACTCTGGAGGAGGGAGCCAGGTGTGTTCAGGGTTGCCACGGAAAGGCTGAGCACGGCCTCGTTATTTTTTGTATGATGTAGTCCGCTCCCTTCTTGAGCATGCTCTTGGAAAGCCTCACAGTGGGTGGGAGAGCACTTCCCACCTGTCCAGCCCCTGATCACCGGCATCCAGCACCACTTACTGTCCGTATCAGTCACACAATCATCGCTGCCTTGTGTGGGAGAGGAGAGGCCTTGTCTTTGCGACCCGCTTAGCTCTTCAGACAAGACCTTCTCCTTGGAGACTCTCGATAAGGACTGATGGGGTGGATCTGTTAAGAATGCAGGTCTTAACATAAGTTAAACTATCTCTAGAAGCCTCTTTATAGATCCATAAATAAAATACGTTATTAAAGCAGTCTATCTCCATTCATTGCATCTCCTTCCTTGTGCGGGCTATGAAGAGACGCCAACGTGGATTTATTTACTCATCCTACCCAACCACCATTTGGGCAGATTCATCTCATTTACAGGTCATTCCCTTCACGTTTCCTCAGTAGCTATTACCACTTCTTTCTTTCTTAATGACAGTGTAGAGGGCAAACTAATTTCTACTAGCCTCTAGCTGTGAGATTTATGGAGAAGATTCTAATATGTTTAGCACAAGCAACTGAAGGAAAAAAAAAAAACAAAACAGCATTGATGTCGTGGATTATTAACTTTGTTTTTTTTTGTTTTTTATTTATTTATTTTTTTTTTTATTTTTATTTTATTTTATTTTATTTTTTTTAAACATCTTTATTGGAGTATAATTGCTTTACAATGGTATGTTAGTTTCAGCTTCACAACAAAATGAATCAGTTATATATACACATATGTTCCCATATCTCTTCCCGCTTGCGTCTCCCTCCCTCCCACCCTCCCTATCCCACCCCTCCAGGCGGTCACAAAGCACCGAGCTGATCTCCCTGTGCTATGCGGCTGCTTCCCACTAGCTATCTACCTTACGTTTGGTAGTGTATATATGTCCATGCCTCTTTATCGCTTTGTCACCGTTTACCCTTCCCCCTCCCCATAGCCTCAAGTCCATTCTCTAGTAAGTCTGTGTCTTTATTCCTGTTTCACCCCTAGGTTTTTCATGACATTTTTTTTTTTCTTAAATTCCATATATATGTGTTAGCATACGGTATTTGTCTCTCTCTTTCTGACTTACTTCACTCTGTATGACAGACTCTAGGTCTATCCACCTCATTACAAATAGCTCAATTTCGTCTCTTTTTATGGCTGAGTAATATTCCATTGTATATATGTGCCACATCTTCTTTATCCATTCATCCGATGATGGACACTTAGGTTGTTTCCATCTCTGGGCTATTGTAAATAGAGCTGCAATGAACATTGTGGTACATGACTCTTTTTGAATTATGGTTTTCTCAGGGTATATGCCCAGTAGTGGGATTGCTGGGTCATATGGTAGTTCTATTTGTAGCTTTTTAAGGAACCTCCATACTGTTCTCCACAGTGGCTGTATCAATTTACATTCCCACCAACAGTGTAAGAGGGTTCCCTTTTCTCCACACCCTCTCCAGCATTTATTGTTTCTAGATTTTTTGATGATGGCCATTCTGACTGGTGTGAGATGAAATCTCATTGTCGTTTTGATTTGCATTTCTCTAATGATTAGTGATGTTGAGCATTCTTTCATGTGTTTGTTGGCACTCTGTATATCTTCTTTGGAGAAATGTCTATTTAGGTCTTCTGCCCATTTTTGGATTGGGTTGTTTGTTTTTTTGTTATTAAGCTGCATGAGCTGCTTGTAAATTTTGGAGATTAATCCTTTGTCAGTTGCTTCATTTGCAAATATTTTCTCCCATTCTGAG